CCGAGTGATAGGTACAACATGAGCGGTAGGAGTCCAATTAAGGTGCTGACACGCCAATCAAGAAGACCCTTGTAACGTAAATGCCGAGTACGACTGCGAACCTGTGGGTCCCCGGCGATCGGTGAAAGATAATGACAATACCACTCGTCTGCAAGGACGGCGAACAATGCGGTTGCAAGACTGAAAGCAAGACTCGCAAACCATAGTCCGTTGACCCATGAATCCAGAGTCTGTGGCGTAAAAGGAGCCGTGGGGTCAGCGCCTGATGTGGCTATGAGGTCGAGGGATGTGCCGTTGGCTAGGGCACGTTGTATATTGATCTGATCGAAGAGTAAAAGGGCCGACAGTTCCTTATAGTCTGGTTGGAGATTTCCGGCAGATTGCGCAATGAATGCGCTGACAATTGCAGAGAACAGTCCTGCCTACAAGGGGGAGAAGTTAGGGCGATACATCATGGCTTGACTTGAATTAGCTTACAAAAACGAGGAGGATATTCACTTGTCCTCTCTGGTTACCAAGCATATCGGTGTCGTAAACCAAGCTTTCGTCCAGATAAGCTCGCCAAATGCAAGACGTCGGGCCCGCTTCTTCGAAAGGCGGACTCGGTGCATATGCCCGATAGTCAGCTGGAATGGTACGCATAAGGACAGAGGAAACGCTCGGATAAATTCCACATACCAGTCGACGCTCCTGCAGCCGTGCTTGTAGAGTGCGACGGCAGAGCAAAAATACCTGGGTGCCTTTTCCTAGCCCGACACGCAGTAGGCTCCTCACCACCACGCAAGGGCGCTTTCTTCTCTTTGTCGGACGTACTGGCAGGCGGCGACGAATGATGAGAATTATTAGGATCATCCAATGAAATTTGGGAGTGTCGCGCTGAATCGTCCAGCTCATCAGCAGTTTCAATCCCTTTGTTATTGTCAATGGGATCCTGTGGACTCTCGTCCAGAATGTCTGTGGGCATACTGTGCTCGTTCGTAATGGACAAGAGAGAGATACCGCAAGAACGAGGCAACAGAGATATTAATGTGATTCTGCCGTCCGCACATTCGCATGTAAGCGGAATGGAATGATGAAGTTTACGGCAGTTCAAAGAATTGATTCGGTTGATGGGCCCTGCAGTATTAGACATCCAGGAATGTGACACAAGCGGGTTATAAACGAACCAAGCATGGGAAGTTATCGTGCGAGGCAAGTGAAGAGACTACTGAACGATCATTCGAAGCATCACCTCGTGTATCCATTGAATGATTCGTCAAAAACAAGCTATAATAACTGCGAGACTCCATCGATTCAGATTCTTACTGATAGACAAAGGTAAAAGTAGTCACCTGTTTCTCTTGCTGGGTGCTAGATGACGTTGTCGTTGCATATAAATCTTATACAAGAATAGACATTCTCTTCTTAGCTTCCTGATGATCATTCACATTAATACCCGTGTTTTCAAGGCGATAGAAGGCACTTCCACTGTGATTTAATCACCGAAAGTCGAGCCATTCGCTCTTATCGTCGCAGACGAGATAAACGCAGAATTGTCGGATAAGTCTGCGTGTCTCGTTAGATATAGGTGGAATTTGCATCGACTATCACCCGGAGTACGGCTATATCATTAGTATGGGTACCTCTGGGTTAAACGCAAAGGAACCTGAGCCATTTAGCTGGAGATGGTCGAGGTGAGGCAAGGTCACTCACTTATCGGGGAAAGCATCACAGCACGAGGGGAAAATGAGAATAGTTGCGAAGATATAGTGGCGCAAAGCACAAGTCATGCTGGAGTCGCGTCGAGGTAGGTAATAAGGTATGTAGGTTGACACAGGCACGGGCCAACGTTTCGGATCGGCCCGGTAACATCCATCAACGCACAAATGATGATTCGCTTGTTGACCATGTTCGCACGTTCAGCACAATTGAAATCAAGGTGGTGGATGCCAGGAGATAGAAGGCAAGAAGGTGCTAACTGGTAGTGAGAGGGGGGGGACCGGAACCGATCCTCGTGTTGAGTCCTTTCGGTGCCGATTCAGCGCGAACCAGTCAGCGATCCATTGCCTTGCATTCAAGTTTCGCCTCGCCTCACCTGCTGTCAACGCAAAGGTGCGAAACCCCATCCGTGCCACCAGACGTTCTTATCATCATGGCGCTTTTCCTACCTCATATTCTGGTTCCAGCACTTCCGCTACTTGATGGCTACTTTATGTGCGCCTTTCAGGTTGCGTCGTAGGGTAATTTCCATGGGGTATTCCTTATCACACAAAGATGTCAGCTCTTTCATATACGTCCGCAAGGCCAGGCCATCATCATAGACTCGGACTTACTTTATTCCCAAATAGCCTCGCGGTGCCGTGAAGCTTTCTTCCGGCTGCGCCATAAGCACTTTCTTGGTGCTGTTTACCATTGTTTTACCTTCGAAGCTTCACGTCACATATCACATCTCAAATCTTCACATCTACGGCTCCCGCTGTTCGCCATCCAAGTGCGAGCCGTCCTGCTATTATGATTAGTATCCAATGCAAAGGAGACAAGAAACCCGATGTATGGGTTACCTACAAAAACTCGGGATGGAGAGTTCTTTGGAACATGTGGACCTTAGGCCTCGCTGCTTCCTCATCCTCGTCCAAATCTGGCGTACCGAGTGATTGGCTACTCGTCTTTTTGAGTCGACTAGCCAGTATTAGCTGGTATCGAGGACCAGGCCTACAATGAGCTTGAAACGGAAAATACATCTGCTATCACTCCTTCATTACTAAATGTAAAAGGTGAACTGATCGCTTACGCTGATAAGAATGAGCTCGTCTTACCATCCCCATCCAAATTCACTAGTTCGTACTGCCGAATTGCGAGTTGGCTCGTGCCGTTCTTCTCGAGTGCATCAAAGGATGGACGCCTGCTGGACGTTGCTACGCAGTCACCCCCTTTCAATTGAAGGCGAAACGGGGTCCACGAAAACTGTCACAATTGGGCGAAGGAACTCGCAAGTTTCCCTAAAACGTCGCCATACATTGTTCCTGCGGCTTGGTATGCCATCAGCGCACCTCGATCCTACATGGATTCAACGAGATTCATGAATAGGAAGTTTTCGCACCATTTAGGAACCGAACCGGACGGTTCAGCCTCGGAATGCTCACGTTCTGGAGAAAGAATGTGAAGATCTATGTAGAAGATAAACACGGTTCATAAAACATACCATCATTTTTGTTTCAGTTGAAGAATCATCCTGATTGAATATAATTGTTGGCCCTACAGAAGCTTAATCCAGATGAAATCAGCGTATAACGGCATTGACGCATCAGTCCAAGGGAACCGTTGACACGGAGTACAACACCAAATTGGATCAATAAGAAACGAGAGTTGAGATAGCCTAACATTTTGGTCCGACGAAATCGACGGCAGGAAAGTGAAGTAGTTTGAGATGAGGGTCAGATATCAGAACAGGACTGTGATTGAAGGCTATGTACTATGATGAGAATGAGCACTTCGTATATTCTGCAGGTACATCAGATTTCGGGCAAGCACAAACAAACGGAATCTTTACCTCCACCTCAACCAGATATGACGACCAGTCTTTCCACGTCGAGAAGTATGGACGCAGCGTTGGTGTTGATGAGCAAGTAAGGTTCAAGTTATAAAGCAGTTCATGTAGATAGAGAAGGGGGAAGCTTTCTGCTTTGTGCAGATAATTACACATCCTCATCCACCAAGATGGCGACGATGAAATCGAAAAAGGCTGTTAGTAGCGGTTAGTAGCTACTGCAAATACGGTGCATGTCTGTCCCTAGAGTATACATGAAACAGAATGCTTTGAACAACCAATCGTTCGCCTTGATCCTTGACAGTGATGAGAAACGCGATATCTTGGGGGTATCTATGGAAGATGGTGAGAAGGTAAGTACAAACAGTACGCGCCATGTGGTCATTTAAGGAGGCTACTGTACGAAGCCAAAGCCTTTAAACCGTAGAGCCTGTAGTATCTGTGGTATCTGGCAGACGACGCTTTGTCTGAGATCAACTTAACTAGGTCATGCCAACTCTGCGTTTCCGAACCGGATAGGATTCTGGCAACGAATAGATCTAGTGATGTATGGTCTTGCAGAGCTTGGTGGACCGAGAAACAGAAATATCTGAGAGATAAAGTGCACCGTCACAGTAATCACGCAGGGAAAGTAGCACAAGCTGTTGAAACGTGATGCCCGGCATGAAAAGCTTGCCGCGGCCAAGCTCAGGACATGATCGATTTGGGGCACTGCCGGATGGCGGCCATCAAATTATATAATGCATGATCAGCAATCCGTCACGGTTTTCGCCTGAGTAATTCACATTATGGGAAACGTGTATTCGTTCGTTGAGAGCGACGTTGACCTGCCAGGTGGCTGTGCTATTTTCAGGTGAAAGCGACGTGGTAACACCAAAACCTGCCCAAATGTATTAGAGGGTCGCACTTATTGTGACATTGGTCTTGTAACGATTTTGATTCTTCCCCGCGAGTTCCAATGTCCGTCCACTCCCTTCCTTCGCAACACACGATGGAAAAACTTATCCTACACCGCATTTCCCAGCAATCCTTAATGGGATTCAACATAACCTTCCCTTCACTACTAGAGGGATTTCCCTCCAGATACCCTATCTGATACGCGATTACATATATTAGTAAATATTAAGGTTGACCGTATTCAGTCATAGTAGGCATATATACCATTTGCAATGTAAAATAAACTTCTGTGATGTTATGCAAAAATTAAGCGTGAAATGCCGTATCAAAACACCCCATTTGGAGAGTCGGGACTTACCACCCTTGAATGTGTTGAACACAACAAGGAGGCTGCTGCTGACATGCACACTATAGTATGTACTGGCGGCTACTGAGTCCTGACCACAAGCGGTTCCCAGTTGGTACAAGTTACTATACTTATTACTAGTAGTGGCAAGTTGCAACTAAGCCTTAAGAACCTGCAACTTTGCGTGCGACGTGCGTTTGAAGTAAGTACTAAGCATTAAAAAGTTAAGATTTCGGATACGGGGAATCGAACCCCGAGCTGCCGCGAAATCCATCCCAATATATGATAAATGAGAGGCGGCAATGTTAGCCGTTACACCATATCCGATGATCATAGCGATTATTCCGTCGCATAATTATCAGAACATTTCGTGCTGAAGACATGCAAAAACTCAGAACTGGAACGTAAAGTTATGTTTGGTCATCAAGAATATTTCTAAACATGGCCTACCCGCGAGTAGCAACAGATATACTACACGAAAAGGAAAATCAATAAGTCAACAGGACATGTATGGAATAAGGTAAGAATAATCATCGTATCATAAAATAGTTACCTTGTCGTAACCACGTTCAACCACTTGTTCTCCACTGTGTCGACCAATGTAACCCCAGATGAATCGGTGTTCGTTGACGGGGACGGGGACACAAGAGAACGATCTTCATATATCTCCCCCTCCTCCAAATCTGGCTCCCCATCACTCTCCAAGTCCATATCGGACTCGCCGGTCCCATCATCGACGTCCAATGGTACAATCACCGACAATGACTCGGGAACCGGAAGGTACGAAGGAGCGGGCGGAACCGAAGCTTCCTCTTCCTTGAGCGCTTCGGCTACCCTCATCTCGGTGATGGGCACCTCGACCTCCTCTTCCTTCACCCGCGGATGTATCATATCCTCAACCAGCGGCACCGAAACTGTAGCACGACCTTGCGGCACCGACTTAAATACCTGCAAGACGGGCTTAACACCATCTTCAGACGAAGCTGACAATCGCCTTCGCTTCGGAGTCGGAGCTGGATACTGAAGTTCGTCGTTTGTCCGAGAGCTGCTGCTCTCACGCGAATACGGGCTTCTTCCTTCCCTTAATGGCCGCTTGACGCTCCTTCTCAGCTCATGCAATTCCTTCCGGATCTCTTCCTTCTCCTGGCGCTCACGAACGAGAAGTTGAGCGCATGAGGAGCGGATGGTCGTAATGATACTGCGTATCCAAGGGTTGGACATGAGGGAGATAGGGATATGTTGTGTTTGTCGATGTTGCTGGGCAGACGGTGGGAAGGACGGCAGAGAATGTATATGTCTGGGAGAAGGCTGAGCGTTCGGAATAAGAGCACGCCTCGGACCCGAAAGATGCAGCGGCACTGGTTGGAGATGTTCTTGCATGTCGAACTGAGCTAAATTCTCAGCAGTAAGCGGGGGAGGCCCGTGAAGAGGAGGCATAGACAGTGACGGCTTTCTTTCCAAAAGGTAAAGGGGTGGTAACGATTGGTGCGAGGACGACGGTAGGGAAATAGGCACGGGTGTCTGAGGGTTAGGTAGGGCGACGACTGGCCGACGTACTTCAATTCGTGGGCGCTCCAGGTCATACGTTGGTCTTCGCGGAAGTAATGGCGGACGATAGTCGCACATGTCCACGTCGGCACTGAGACGACGTTGGGGTTGGATGCGACTGTTGGACAATTGCTGAGACCTCCTAGACTTCGAAGACTCAGCGTACACGTAGTCTAACGAGTCAATCTGGGGGTTCAGGCCGTCATCATAGAAGCGTATGCATCCTGGAAGGACCTAGAAATGATTAGAAGAGGTTTAAAGATGAACAGATCAATGACAAACCTGTTCAGAATATCTGACTGTCATTATTGGGTTCGAGATGCACGATGAGCAGGCAACAGGCTGGCGATCGTACTTGGTCGATTTAGATAGGGCTTTTGTCCCGACGTGTATGAGTATACTGTGAGGATAAAACAAAGAATGAACACACACTAGTCTGTATCGTATTAAGGACAGCACCGCTATCCATAAACTAGGGGGTTGAGTATTCTCTCCTTTACGCGGACCAGCCAGTGGACGGAAGCAGAAATCGCGTTCCACGGAAGCAAGTTGCTTTGACTTTAGTACTCTTGCTGAATTCGGACGCAATGATTCATTCCGGCCGACCGAACAATAAGACAATGGGCGCTAAGGGATCCCATCAGATCCCCCGGTTTCCAAGACAAAAGGCCTGGGGGATTCCCTGTGCATCTGACGTTATAGCGAATGCAAGAAAACAATTAAAGGCAAAGTACATGCGGCGTTGACATTGTCGTTCGCGTAGGAAGGAATCTCAAATAGGAAGGTCGGGTCCTGCCAGGCGTCCGACGAAACTTGATTGTTGTGAGAAAGATCGAGATGTGCACGTATAGAGTCCGAAGCATAAAGGTGCTAAATCGTGCCTGTCAGGTATACAAAGCGCATAATTGTCCAAGAATCCCGAATGGGCGTTCCCTGGCGCTGTGTTTGTATCGCGCAGGGCAACAACTTGGCGACAGGATAGTGAGAGCAATATAATAAGTCAGTACGCAGAAAAGTGCAGTGATATATTATTATTGTCCTCGTCGCCCGTCGTCGTCGTAGTGGAAGAGAAAGGCGTATACGGTAAACAGGAACACGTGACAACGCGACGACAGTCTATCTCGGGAAATACCGGAATATCGCCCTCTTTGGGCGCGTCATCGGCTGATGTCGGCACCATCGATCGACCCCAAGATATGATCAAAGATGATCGTCAAAGCAGTGTTGAGTGTGAGGTCCTTGTGGTACGAACTTGTGTTTTGGTAACAATCTACCATCTTCTGTTTGTATGTTGGCGGTTTGTAGGAAGAATGCCATGTGAAGGATTCATATGATCAACTAACAATCAAACGTTTTGACGTCCTTATCAACTTGTTCTCCGACCATTAGATTCCTTCCCGTGGGTCGCGGATTGGTTCCACCTTAAATACTTTCTCATCATCTTCTTCAAGATCCCCAATGTAATACAACGGCATACCGTGTGAGGAATGTGAAGCGTGCCAAGAAACAAGGTCTCGATGGAGGGGCACTGCGAGTAGTGATTTTTATGCTACTAGTATGGGTCCAGATGTATTGCCCTCCCCGTCATCGGCCGACGCGCTGCCTGTTGTACGCCGCTCCTCCTTGATTCCATGCTTCCCAGCTCTCTATTTATTTGTATTTACTCTTTCATTCACTTGTGACTCGTGAATTCCGTCAGGCTTGTTCGAGTTAACTTGGGAATAAACATTGAGCATAGCTTGAGCATATGATGGATAGTATAAGCTATTGAATTGAGTCCGCGTCCAAATAGAAAGCATCTTGTTCGCTTCAAAAATAGACATCGGAAGACATTTAAAAATCAACCCTTATTGAGCACGGGTCTGCTGTTTGGTCTGCCCGCCTTCTCCTATCGTTGTCTCCTGTGCGCTCTCGAGTTTTTTCCGACATTGCACTACCTCATACGAAACTTCTTACTCTTCCATTGTCTTCGATACTCAAATCTAGTATCTCTCCTCTCCAGCATCACCGCACAGCAACATTCCTAGACTTGATTAATTTCGCGACCTTCTCGGAAAGCATCACCTTCTCATGGCATTTTGAGAGGAAGCTTGGTATAAGGAATTCATTTTCAGCGCCGAGCCGCTGGGATACGCGTCGCTTGTGAGGAATCAATTACCGACGGGTTCATTTTCTTCGCGGTGCCGCCGCCGCTTAGACGGAGAGAAACTGTCAGAGGACCCCGATAAAGGGCGTTTGTGTGTCCCTTCGCTGAATAGTGTGTATTGAGAAAGCTGAACGGGATTCTCTTGGGAAGTGCGATGAATCGGACATGAGGCTGAAAGAATGTCAGGTTACAAGAACCTTTAACGTGTAGTAAACGTATACCGTACTTTTTCCGACCCCAGTCGTTTAAGATAAAGAAATTCGGACCGAGGCGCGATGACTAGAAAGCGAGTTATATATGATCGATAGTCGTAGCCACGGCACGGATGGGTTTATCTTACCCACAGGACTGCTTTAAGGAATAATTACATTGTGATCGCGGAAGATCCGTCAAGGCGTCGAGATTGCAAGTTCCCACTCGCTGGATTAATGTCCCCATCACCGATGATCACCGCGAAACACGCGCGGTCGTGGGAGCGTGGACACCACGAGGTGGAACGATATTTAAAGACATACCATACCGGGATATGTGAAAGTGGAAATAGCGTGGAGTGTGATATGCTTGCGGACCTCAACACACCGGAAAATGATCCATAGAATACAGAGGGAGCAGTGTTCAACACCGGGATCACAGATATTGCTGCAAGTGGACCATTTTTCGATCGCGCGACCGGTCACGATGCAATCGAACGATCAGATTTCTTCCCGGGAGGACATAGAGAGGCTCAAAAACGACAGCAATAGTAACAGCAACAGGTGTTTCCCACAAAGATTGAGCGCTGAAGAGCCTAGAAAGGACACAGAAGCCAGCTGTCAAGGCAGTGCAATGCTCCATACAGTATGAACTGATTTTAGGGCAGTGGCCGTTTTAAGCGCGCGATCGGCATCAGTAGAAAAGGGACCGTGGGAAATGATTAAATAAACCGGTATATAAGGGCCGAATTTTGCTCCCAACTTCTTCCTACGCCCAATCGACGCCCTTTTCAGGTCTACGTGTTCGTGATTCTGTGGAGGAAATAATCTCTGTCTGCTTCTCTTCTATTTGTTCATGCAGCAGAGGAGGGATACTGGCCCGGGCCTGGGGATTCTCGATCTGAAAGGAAATAGTAGCAGTACTCCAGTGACACCACAAAGGACCAATTCACGGCCACTGGGGGATGAACCAGCACCATCCAGTTCTACAGGAACAAGGCCCCCCTCGCGCTCTGAAAATGAAACCGCGAATCGGATAAATCAGCCGGGGGGATATCCTATTTCAACGGGACCACAGGTACAACCGTACGGGGGAGCGTCGGGGCAGCCATATTACCCTGCAATTCGTTTTGTAGACCAGTCGGGGGGACCACAGGGGGGACAGGTGTGTGGTGATTTTTTGACCGCCTGTATTTTTTTTGAAAGAGCTCTTTGATCAAGTCACGACCTTTGATTCCGACATCCGTAATGGCCCCCCGCGTGCAACCTCCCCAGAAGCCTACGGCAAAAACATCATCAAAATCAGAGAGCAATGGAACATCGCGAGCACCATCAAGGACGAGGTCGGATCCCGTACCGAGTCCTTCAATGTCTCTGCACCCGTCACCCGTGGAAACGAGGCGTGATCTTCTACCGGTATGTTACATACCTTTTCAGCGTGC